CTGCAGCTAGGTCCAAAGCCTTGGCTAAATATTTCAGTTGTCGTCCAGATTTTTTCTACGCATACGAACCAGGACACATGCTGTTTAGGTTTGTATTTAAAGGCAATGTGGAAGACGACGGACGAGCAAACCTCGAACAAATACAAGTTGCCCTTCGCGGTTTCCTACATGACATTTATCATTGCAACCTAACCAATCATCCTTGTTTCACACAGGGCTTCAATAAACCCATGTCAATTTACAAAAGGCGTGCTTTTCTCACCAAGCTACCGATGCCAATCACTGAGGAGACCCTAACAGGCATATGCAAATCAAGGGATCACATTATTGCAAAAGTTGTTCGAATTAACGATTTAATGCAGTTCATGCAAATGTTCCGAAACGATGACGTCAAAGTGTTGTTCCTGGCACGTGATCCACGGGGGATGGCGGCGTCCAGGGATAAGAGATTCCTGCACGCGATTGACACCCATGTCAACAAATCAGCAGACGGAGTTCGCCCTTTACACCCCAGACTGGTAGATTATGTAGTGGAACATTGTCAGTGGTTGGAAACGAACTATAAAGCTATAACAGAAGGTTCTACTTGGCTACAAAACAACGCCATGCTAGTACGCTATGAAGATATGGCCATGTATCCGTATAAAGTTGTACCCAAGATGCTCCAGTTCGTGGGAATCAATGGTAGCACTCCAGTGGAGGGGTCCGCGCCTCATGCTGACTCCGCCTCAAAAAAATGGCGGAGGTATTTCTCGTACGAGGAGGTGAAAGAAATACAAGATCTGTGCTCAGACCGCTTGTATGATTTGTTTGGATGGAAAAGAGTTCAAAGTAAACTCGATTTCATTGACGAGACAAACACATTTATAGGGTCAATGCCAAAAGCTGCTCTAGAATAAATTTGACGACAGTCACAATCAAAACCACGTGACGTGTGGTAAGTGGTACCCACCTTAACTTCACTGATCAGACAGCATTTCATAACTATCGATAGAGGGCGCATTATATTTATGTCATGTTGCCGGTTGCGTAGGGACTAAAGAATTTTTAGTTTGTAGTAAAAAATGTTATGTGATATTAACACATCGAAGATTTATAAAATAAGTTTGTACCTTATAAATCCACATTGGGGTAGCGTTTGAATAACATTTATGTAGAGTCAGATACAATGTACATGTATGTACTAAAAAAACTATCGTTAATATGTTGTGTAAAGAGCGTGGGCAAGTTAGTGGTCACATGGTATTTCACAGTTAGTGTATGTTTTAGACAAAGTTACATTATATGTTAATTTGAGCGACTGAAGTGTGATGTAGTGCAACATGCAATAGGCAAAGTAAATACCAGAAGTATACGAAACGATATACATGTATAAAGGATTAATGCACTTGTATGTGCTAGCTGAAAAACAAATTTCAGATATATGTGGTTAGTGTTGTTAAGAATGTTTAAAGTGAAAATTTTAAAATAGCTGCATGCATGGTTTGAACCCACAATCTTCGTGACAAAGCCCATCATAATAATCAACATCAGTCAGAGAATTGAATGAACGGTTAGCACAATCTGAATAAACAAAATCACGGACCAACGTCAGAAATGGGTCAGCCTGAACTGAAATGTCCGACAACTGAAAATTAGAGTCTCTAAAAGGATTCTAATGAAAACGTGTTCATTGCGCCATCGCGCGACTATGTATTTAAAAATTGTTCTTTTTTAAACAAATGTTCAAGTCATGTGATTTGTTATTTATGTTTGCCACCAATGCAACCTTTCGTTACCGATTAACCAGACCCGCCTATATAGCGTAGATTAGTGGCCACTACGTACCATTCTACGTACACAGCATCTACACCTGTATGTGCGTGCAGACATCACAGAGGTTCACAAGAACGCTGTCTCCGTCATCCAGCGGTGGAATCGTCAAAACTGCTCACCTCTATCTTGATTTCACGTTGTTTTATGTATTGCGTAGTGCACGGTTACTTTTTTAGTAACCGTGCGTAGTGCGACCATCGAAGATAAACGTACGTATCGCCATAACACTACAGCTTAGCCGGTTAACGTGAAATACCCGTGTTTATAACAACAACAACAACGACGATATAACGTGAACTATTGTTCACCTAATCAGCAAATTATACCGCAAAATACGTTACACAAGCAAGCGGCATATTTTGAAGGCAATATGTATATCCTTGATATGCAATAGGAACCAAAATTGTATACATTTGACATTTAAGCTGACTGACCGATCATGGGGAAGAAAGAGTCAGAGTTTATAACTAAGGGACTGACGAAGTCCAAGAATGACTTTGAAGTCGTGGTACGAACATGTAAGGAACTGGAGTATATTATTGAGAAGTACCTAGCGGGCCAGGGAACGGGACTCCACCAGCTCACAAACAGCGTACAGGAGGAAATATCGCCATATCTCGCGAGAAAATTACACTACATTGCAACTATACGAAACAAAATTGTACATGAACGAGATTTCAACTCCATGCCGGACAGGAAGAGCTATATCGAAGCGTTCAACGAGGTACAAAAGGAATTGGCGCAGACAATTGAACAATCTCACAGCGTACTGTATGATGAAAAGAAGAAAAAGTCATCTAGATGTATCATTATGTAGGAATTAGAGTTTATACTACGCAGGTACACCGGAAGTGACGTATTTAGTCATTTCATCGTGATACCAGTGTTACCATAACGACATCATGTATGCGCATTTGGTTCACACGACGTTGCAGTATTGTTTAGAATAAACAACTTGCATGTTTATGGTAGACATTATAAACATAAATTACAGGACTATTATAAATAGATTGTTTACTAATTTTATTTATTAGTGGCAATTCTATTTATTATCACCAAAAAACAATTAATTAAATATTTCAACGGAATAATGAATACATCAAATGAATTAATTGGTAAGGAAGATAGCAATTATGAACAAACAATTAAACAGCAATATGGTACAGTGCCATAACTACACTGTTAACTAAAATAAACCAACCACAAATTATCGAACCAACAACAAGCTATACTAAACGACAGAGAAATCAAGAAATTAAGTTTAGAAGTTGAAAAAATATATAAATTATACTGTAAAAGGTAAATTAACATAGGGACTGATGATAACCAAAATAACAATAACAGAAGGAATAAACTCAGAACGTACAAACATTTCAAAAATGAATTTATTTTAGAAAATTATGTGATCAAAATAAAGAATGCCGAACTACGTGAATGTCTAAGTAAGTTCCGTCTGAGCAACCAACCAAAATTGAAACAGGGACGTATACTAAACCAAAAACCGAAATAGAAAATAGAATCTGCGAATTGTATTTAAATAACAAAGTAGAAGATGAGTACCATTTCATGATTGAATGCCCCTTTTACGAAAAATCGCGGAAGAGACTACTAAGCACATTATAAACTTCATGTATAAGTGAGTGACTACAACATTTTTTTTTTAAATTAATGGGTGAAACAAACCTGAATGTACAAATACCAGTTGCCCGATTTATCAAAAAATTACACGAACCTTAGACAGCAACATCTTTTGGCAAATTAACATAAATATTTTTTTTCTTTAATACGTCTTTTTTTCCATTTAGTTCTTTTCCATGTTTCATTGATTTACTGTATATTGCTTTTTTTTTCTTGTTATTAGTTTTTTTTTTAATTAAAAACTATTGTCGTGCTTCAGATAGTAATCTTTATAAAATGTGTGTTTTAAATAAGTGTTCCGGTAGTTAGTGTAACCATTTTAATTTTTTCTGAGGAATTTTAAGTGTTTCAGTAAAACTGTTATAAAAACTGCAAGGTGAAAACACGAACCGGGAAAAAGGTACGCGCTACTAAGCTTGAATAATTAACTGCTGTCAATCAATGTCACGTGATGTTGAGCTGCTGAAACAGGGCGCGTCATCTAATCTCCAAAAACAATTACACAGTTCCTTATGCTTTTCTCATATCACATAGCGGATTCGACGATGACAATGACAATTGTGTTCGCAAATTTAAAAAGTCGCCACAGAGATACACTTGCTTGCAGTCTGTTGCGTTTCCGATGAAAAATTTTTGAAAAATATATATAAATTGCGTAAGTCCTGTCCTTTTCATCGGAATCGCAACAGACTGCAAGCAGGTCTACACATTAGCTTTATCTGTAAAGTGTAAAAACCTATTTTTAACTGTAAATGGAACTTTAATTTTATTTCCTGCCCTTTGCCTCTCAACATGGGATTCTGAATAAAAGGTAAGCCCTGAAGATAAAAGATCCATCCCAATGGTATACATGTACATTAAAATGTTACTACAAAATAAATGTCAGTGAAAACAATACTTTTTTTTCAAATCCCACAGCCACCATGAACAACTTGACAATCCCTATTATTGCTAAACCGCTAAACTTTAAATCTAATTTATTAGGATTTCCATATGTAGTTCGGGAATAATGCATCATGATTATGGTAATGTCAAGGTTATATAATAATTCATATTTCGTGTGTATTAAAATATGTACACATTATAAATTATTGGTAGTGGAAATTGCCAAGCCAGTTTATAAGATTGTGAGCAAATATTTTCTTTAATAACACTGACTGCGAAATACGCCCACCGAGAAGTGTCACTGATGGAGTACAATGTATTTCATATTATAATTTCATTCAATTTTGATCAGTTGTATTGCAATACTTTATTAATAATTATACATTTGTTTTGTGCTATGATTTCTCATCTATATTGGAAAATTGTTCTGGGGATTATTTATTTCAATAAACGGCATTCAGCTACTCACTGCTAATTCAAAAACCAATCATCGCGAAGCTACTAGTATATAAATATAATATGTTTACTGTATATTAGCAGAACCCGTCTCAATATGTGAAACGTACCTCTCATGTTGACGCGCACTGATTTGAACTACATCTACCCCTTGACCTTTCATGAGTTGTAGAACAACCACATAAGTATGAGTTTACGTCCTTAAAGGGGAAGTCAAGCCAAACAGCATAACGCTTACTAAATAAGGAGCTCCACCGTAAATGTAGAAGAATGCAATTTACAGTTTTTAACTTTTCATTCTCTAGATATTCAATATTATGTAGTCAGTCATCTTGATTCTCAAGCAAAGGATTATGGGTAAAGTGTGGCATCATATCCACTGTTGTGAAAGATTAAAAAAAACGCTTTCATCTATAACCTGAGAATTATTGATGCGAATTAGTTAAAATTTTCGGTGTGCATATTACTCGTGTATATAAATATAGTAATAGAAATTAGAATGTTACAAATACACATAATGTGAAGATATTGATAAAAACGTAAACAAATTAAAATCGTTTTCTCAGTTGTTACAAATAGAATGACATTTATTAATAATTATTTGTCCTCTTTTTGTGGTCAATAGGTTATACGTGTATATCACCTATATAACCTACTCATATCGAGAAATTGTATACAGTATAAGAAAATTTGAACATTTGGTAGAAAAAAATGAATATTTTTAGTGTTGTTGCCATGACAACTATTTATATGCATCTGGGATTATTATGTTTTCAGCTTTGACTTTTCCTTTGAGTTTAGAAAGTTCTCAGCTGTGTTTGGGGTAGTTCAATGCCATTATTAGGTATATGTTTTGGATTAGGTCCATGCCATTATAGTGAAAATGTTTGAAATAGTTTCCTGATGTAATTGTAGGGTGTATGTTTTGCCTCACCTTTATGGTATATGTAGCTGGGTGTAATTATTGACGGAATAAACCAAACGTTTCTGACAATCATAACTTTATTAATTATAAAATTTCAAATTACATGAGATATACTATGTTAAAGAAACAATGTATTACACCACCAATTGATTATACATATACTGCTTCCGTGTACTACTTGGGGGCAGTTGAAATTATTATTAAGTTATTAATATGAATTATAGCTTATTAAGAAGTTATTAATATTAATTATAGATATATCGAGCGTCCAACTATTTAGCAAACGTTCCGTTAAATAAAATCAAAGAAAAATCAAAAATAATAATGGAAAGTAAAATATATGGTGAATAATCACGTGCAGATAATTTGTCGTCATCGCGTATAGAAAGTTCGCGAGTAATATCATTGTAATAACCGATGAGTTCTTTACAGCTGTAGACTGCCTGGTTATTCCCCACTATCTCGCCATGTATGAGTTCTCGAGTATAAGCAATGAGACACACTTTTTTATAAATGTCAGAAGTCACGTGATTTTCGATCTGGTTTACCATACTCACTAGACTGTCACCATACACGTCGAAATTACGTTCAATTAAGCGTTCCGTCTTATAACATATTGTGTCGACCAGTTCAATGTTGTCAGAAATGTCGTCGCTTGGCCATCCACAAATGCGATCCCGTATGAACTTGAACATTATGCACCAGTACCAGTCAGTATACTATCTTAAAAATATCAACAAAAAATAAACAAACAAACAAATAATACGAACTGTGCATGACCTCGTGATTTATTACTTGCTATTCCATTCATCGCGCACACCCTCACTGACATCGTATGATTTCCCGTGAGTCTCGGCTTGTTGTCGATATGTCGACCCGTATCTCACTGACCAACAAAATGAACAATCCTTCATAATGTTGGAATAATAATACAACAATTATATTTTTATTTTTCAACTCTAATGCCACCATTATGGCTTATTCTTGATGTTACTCTCCTCTCTTTGGTTTTGTGCAAATCTATTTTTGTGTACTTTTTTATTAAATCTGGTAAAAATAGGATAATGTGTTTCCATTGTAATTTCATGTGCATAAATTGTGGACTTGTGAAAACATATTTTTCAGCATTAGGAATGATACCTTTGAAACATTCGCGATAGCCATTTGTCAAATATGATAGTAAAGTAAAAACAAAATCTATCCCACATACCATTTCTGAATCCCTGCCAGGTTTTATAATACTCCCTTACTTATTTAAGTCATGAGGGCGCTAGTACGATTATCGCATTAACATGTAAACATACTTTGATCCTGGACTTTGAATACCATTAATGGCGATGTTGTATTTGTATTTTTTTTTAAATTTATAGTATCAGAATGAATGATTGAATTCGAACTTAGCGTATCAGCTGTTTCACGTTTTTTACGTTGTAAAAAATACAAAAAAAAAAAAAAAAAAAACGGTAAAAGTTGTTGACTTGACAAGTTGTGACGATGCACTGCAGGTAGATGGTGGACAGATTATTTTGTGACCTGTATACATTTGTATACATACATACCTGTTAGAAACACTGTCTCTGTCATCCAGTTGTACGGTGGTTGTTTAAAGTGTAATCCTATACTGAAGGAAATCTAGACACAACAGTTGGAACCCTGCATAATGTGGACCAGAGCTAACGAAAATCGTGACGGGCAAAGTACAACTCGGGCGCATGCGTAATCAGATAGATATTATAAGTTATCACGGTCCTGCAATCAAACATGATACATTTTAATATATACCGATACCTTGGTGATGTCACTTAGGTTTGGTGTTATGTGTCCAGCCCCTTGTGTTATGGGTATCAGTGAAATATGCGATTATTACTAGCACTGGGTACACTTAAAATGATATCAGGCCACCGTCAAAAGTCCCAGTCATTTCTAGTTTATTTATTATAAGTTTACCAAGCGTTATGTAACATAACATTGTTTTATTGCTTTCATATTTTTTCAGGCATTATTCAATGAGAGGGTCATCATATTTCATATGTTGTACACATTTGTCTGCAGGGTCAGATTTTTTATGAGTTTCGGGCTCCTCCTGACTTATGCTTAGTCTCTAAATAGGCTTTGTTTGTTTTTTGGTGGACTGCCTGGCGGTAGTCTGTCACTTTTATGGTTCAGTTTTGCCTAAATCTGCGTACAAATGTGTCGAAATGCATGATCTGTCAACGTTTTTTTTCTATTGCTATAAAATGTGTATTGTATACTCCCTGACCATGATTGGACGAGAATGTCCCAGGAATTACTGAGCCCGTCGTGCATTAATCAAATTACAAGATCTACAATATTATTTAACTAACAATAATTACAATAGAAGGAACTGTTGTCAAGCTAGTTTGTATTACTTGTGGCATTGATTAATTGGCAGCATTCAAAATGACGGTAAAATTTATTTTGATTGATAATAAAATAAGCTAAAAAGAATATGTCATAATATATCAAACAAAATGACATTTATTTCACGAAGATAAAATCGCACAATATATAAGAAAATACTATTATCATCAAATACAATAGAGAGTTGGTCAAAGTAGTCGTCGATACTATCCAACACCAAAACGTCATCCCATCTTTCAAACAGCAGCCTGTGGGGGCGCTGTACCAATGGTTAAGCTGTTGCTTTGCCTTGGTGCGGAAATACATTTTGTTTTCACTTTTTCCTGGCAAACTTCGACCTATTTTCGTGTGTTTTGACCTGGCGTCAGAATATTTTCTATCACATATTATGACATTAAATAAGCTCATTCATTATACTTGTAGGCGATTAGAAAAGTGGTGCCTGTGAGCGTTGAACTGATTCACCATCCTTATTACTGAAGATTAATTCAATTGTATTAAAACAGTTTTCTAATTCACTACTTGTTTCAGGCTTATTTTATATTCAAATGATGTTGTGTAATGAAAACCAGTGTTCTGTGTGCTGTGGGGGTGATGCCAATCACTTACCTATTTACCCATTGCACTACTGAAGGAGTGTTTAGTAATGCAGAGTTTTTAATCGCAAACTTAGAGGTACCCAATGTTATTTTTAGAAACAGACTCAACGCGGGGCGTAATTGGCTGATAAAAATAGCACTAGTTTCAGTATTTAAACCGCTGGACTTTCATTCATGGCCGCCATGTATAAAACGTCGCAGTATCACTTTGCGAAAGTAAACAAAATAAAACGTCAGTCGTCAATATCCTATATACTAGAAACAAGTTCGACGAAACTGTACTGTCAATTATGGCTTCTCCTTCGATCGATGTTTACGTGAAACTTAGCACAGGTCGTGTCGTAACATTCGATCTCATGCCTGATCAAAACGTGGAGGAAATTTATCGAAAAGTTGCAAAAGAAGAAGACGTGTTCGAGAACCAAATCGTTCTTCGATACACCGGCAAAGTCGTCAAAAAGAGTCACACGATAGGATATCTTGGAATATGCAGAGAAACCATTTTAAAATCAGAGGTAGGCTACGTTCAATGTTATGTATTTGCGCCCCCTATAGACAATATGAACTTGTTACTTCGTATTTTCTTCTATAGGGTCTGTGTAACTTAAAAGGCGGGAGTGCCGTGCCGCGTCCTGTTCGATATGGGACTCATAGCGACGTAAAAAACACGTGTAAAATATATTTTTTATTTGCATAAAATTCGAACACGAGCTGTGCGACGACCACCACGCTTTAAGTTCAGAGCTGGGAGTTTTTTGACGAGCGCCATCTTCGCCATCGTTCATAAACTACATAGACATGTGCATAAGTTAGAAATGAAATTAATTGTACGCCTAGCCTTAATTGGAGGTGTGGTCTATTTAGAATTTGTATCAATCACAAGACTGGTTACGAGTGTGAGGCTAGAATGATTATCACCTTTCAAAGAAGTCCGGCTCCCACAGGTTATAAAGAAGTCCAGCTTCCACAGGTTATAAAGAAGTCCGGCTCCCACAGGTTATAAAGAAGTCCGGCTCCCACAGGTTATAAAGAAGTATGGCTCCCACAGGTTATAAAGAAGTCCGGCTCCCACAGATTATAAAGAGTTCCGGCTCCCACAGGTTATAAAGAGTTCCAGCTCCCACTGGTTATAAAGAAGTCCGGCTCCCACAGGTTATAAAGAAGTCCGGCTCCCACAGGTTATAAAGAAGTCCGGCTCCCACAGATTATAAAGAAGTCCGGCTCCCACAGGTTATAAAGAAGTCCGGCTCCCACAGGTTATAAAGAAGTCCGGCTCCCACAGGTTATAAAGAAGTCCGGCTCCCACAGGTTATAAAGAAGTCCGGCTCCTACAGGTTAAAAAGAAGTCCGGCTCCCACAGGTTAAAAAGAAGTCCGGCTCCCACAGGTTATAAAGAAGTCCGGCTCCCACCGGTTATAAAGAAGTCCGGCTCCCACAGGTTATAAAGAAGTCCGGCTCCCACAGGTTATAAAGAAGTCCGGCTCCCACAGGTTTTTCGTTCTTAAGGCCAGACTTTTATTATCCCTTGTTTTGCGAACCCGCTGAAAATGAAATAACAAACAATTTTCAGCAAAATTTCTCGTGCCCACCGACTTGTAAGCGCAAAAAAATGCTAAAAAAATATTATTTTTATCTTCATTTTTTTACCTCCCACCGCATAACAAATCCAAGTTGCATTTTCGTGGGAGTACCATGATCAAAGTACTGAAGTCTCGCGCAGATGAGAAAGAAGGTTATACATGGAATAACATTTTATTTCATTTCTTCTTTTCAATCAAGAATTCATTTTTTTTTTTTTTCGTCCTCCTAATATAAAACTGAACAGATAGCCCATAGTAAGTTATGCCCATTTGGTTAAAAATGATCAACAAATTTTAGAAAAACATAAAAATAAATGTTGCCTCAATATATTGAAGGGAATAATTAATAATAATCATAATTTTTTTCTTTCACAGATTATAGAACTTAAAGTGATAAATATATTTGTAAAACAAGCTGGAGGTGATATAGTGGAACTAACTTTAAACAATTTGACTACACTATCTCAAGTAAAAAAACGCATACATGACAAGCAAGACATACCTACTAGCACTCAGATTCTAAAGGTAAGTAGAGATTCTGAGCATTCAGATATTGAAGTTAAATTACGCCCTCTATGGTAGAATGATGTAAGATCACATTTGAAGGTCACATTCACCATGGTGTTTGTACATTCATCGATTTTCCAAGTTTAGGGAGATTCAAACCGAATTGAAGATTATATTCACTATACTTTTATTTGTATTGGTTCAGCCATCTGGTTACCAAAAATGAAAAAGATGGGGTCATCGTACAAAACTTTGAGATACAAGAGTCCAAAATGACACTAAAACTAGCATCTTCACACTAGTTTCTATGTCGAAATTATTTCATATAGATCTCAAAATTTTGCTGACATGGACTGAAAAAGTGATATATTATGAATGAAATGAATCCTAATAATATAAAATCATTTCAATTTAGTGGGTTTCATGGGTAATTTTACATGGGTTAGTTTACTACTATCAATTCCTTATTTCCGAGTTACTATTTTTCTCACGAAATTCGATAGAGGGCGTTCTCAAAGTACCCGGATGACAGTCCGTTCAACGTTCGTGGTGGGGTTGAA